TGGCTCTAAAAAACAATCGCTTTTTTAGTTTGAAATAAGCTTTCATAAGGACTAATTGTGTAGAAATGTTATCTGTATGCTCAAATGAAAAAGATAAGCTAATATCCAGGTATTCAACATAGCTATAAAAGGGTGAAATAAGAACTTTCATCTTTGGTTGTTTGTCAGACATGATAAACCACATTAGTGCCATTTTGTTGCGCGTGCTATCTTATAAAATAAACACCTCAAAGCCATATACTTTTAGTCCAGAAAATAACAAAGTTTCCCATAGACATTATTAAAAATGTTCTAGTGAAGCGATTTCATGATAAATAAGTGAGCTATGGGCCCAAAAGAGCTGCTAAACTATGTTTTTGTTAGGACTTCAATTTCATGGCTTCCCGCAAAGGAAGCCATTTCAGAGAGAAGCGGCATTTTGCAAGCAACGGTCGCGACCTATTTTTGATAACTTTTCCTTCTGATTCAATGTGTAGTTACTAGAAAATGAAAATAATGCATCAACATTATTATCTGCTTTATCGATTTAAAGTTTTATGGGAATATAAAACCCAATAGAAAAAGCGTTTTAAAAGCTTTAGAACTCAAGTGCAGACTTTTTGAAAATTTGCACACGGCAAGCAAGCGCACTAATTCAATACACTTATTTTAAACCACAATATGTCTGAAACAAGTTGTCGTTTTAAGACTAAATCGATGAAAATAGATATAACAGTGATTTTGGAGTATCCTACTTACTTAGTGTAATTTAATACTCGAAGTATTCTTGCCAAAAAGGGCACGTACGCACACAGTAATTTAATCTGGTGTAGTTTGAAACATACTTTAGCAAAATAACAACTTGAACAAGAAGACCAACAATGGGGTTACGAAAACAGTCTAAATTGTGCCCAAATTTGCATAAACAGTTCGTCTAAAAAGATAACTTTAAACTAGATTCAACCAACTTTAATGCAGTCGAATTTTGTGAGTGTTTGATCGCATATTTCTACTCAAAAATACCCTTAAAAATATCGTATCTGCTCACTTGAGTTCCGTGTTCATCTTTCTTGTGATTTCAGACTTCTATTTTTAATAAAGTTTGGAGAAATCCTCATCTTTTTGGCTGAAAATCTCGCGGATGGTTCACAGAAGAACTTGGCCCCAAAACGTCAATACATTCGCTTTCCTTTCATGCCAAATTTTCGTTGTAGATGATTCAAAAACCTCTTCTTTCTTCGCTTTTAAAACTTGCTGTAAAACCCTTCTTTGCAACAGTATCGCCATTGTTCATTATTTTTGAAAAACTAAGGTTTTAAACTTGAAAAACTTTGCGAGTTTGGCCGATTTTCTTGCATGATACACCGTTCAAAAGCTCGAATTTCACGTTCTATTTTCGTATCCGTTGCTAGGCAACTCGATAAACACATGCTCAAATATCATGCCCGCAAGTCAGGGAGTCGTGTTAAGGGCGCATTGCCGCTTAATGAGTTAAAGAAATAATTCATTTTAAGCCAAAGACAAACCAGAAAACTATTCAAATTGTAGAGAACAATGTTGAAATAACTGACCCAAAAATGATTGCTAATGCATTCAATAACTATTTTACAAACACAGGAAATAATCTGGCTAATTTGATACCAAAGGTTCCAAATTAATTCACCATTCACTAAAATCCCCCATTACCAAATAGCTTTTTTATATTTCCTGCTACTATTAATGAAATTGAGACAGAAATATCCCAACTTAAGACTGGAAAAGGCTGTTGGTACTTTTAGTGTACCTATGTGTGTGCTTACATGCAGCAACCCCTCACATGTATTTTCCAAACATTGGTTTAACATTATACACTTAACGTCTTTTTCCTCGGGAAATAGTTTTGTTTTCCTGAGAATCTCAATGTTTCGTTTCCGGAGACAAAGTCGAGGGAAACATTGAGATTCAAGGGAAAACAAAACTAACTATTTCCCGAGGGAAAAGACGTTAAGTGTTTTGTTATATAGCGACGAAACAAATATCAACATTGAACAACATTCATACAACAATATTTGTATTTCATGACAAAAACTCTATAGCGTAAACGAGTTTAAAATTTAAAAAACCTACTTAAATGGTTTCAGCAGCATATCCTGTTGCCTGTTATGTATTTTTCTTCTCTTTTACATTCTTTATGTTAACACAAAGCCACGAAAACAGTAGTTTAAATAGTATAAATTTGTGCTGCCATTTTGTTTATTTATGTACGTAGCCGGTCGGGGCGGGCAACAATTTTTCACTTATTGTCCGGGCGGGATACATTGCATTTATCTAAAGCCACATGACTACAAATCAGCCAATCACGTTTGGTGTTCGCACTAGCTATATAACAAGAAGTATTAGTAATTGATCAACCCTGAACCTGTGACTGAACACAGGCTCGTGTTTACGTCAGTGTTGCCACAGATGATATTGTACCAGATGTCTCACTCAGCAAAAATTGTGTCTGTGATTTTTTATGAGCACGCGTTGGCCGCCATTTTGGCAGTAAGTGTAATCCACGCCATGAAACGTGAGCAATCACACATTTTGGCAGCAACCGCCATTTTGGCAGTAAGTGTTGCATGTGTTATCTGGCGTTGATAGCCTCGCGAAAATCATGGACACGAAAATCATAGGGATAGATACACAGTGAGACATCTGGTACAATCTATCATCTGTGGTGTTGCCATGGCAACACGATAAATTTAATTTTTATTATTTTTTTGTACAACATGCCAAAAATAGTTGAAAGATTATTGCTCTTAACTATATAACAATGAATTTCTGAAATATGTACTGTAGGTACGTTGTTCTGCATTTTGTGAGCTTTGATTTAATGTAAAATTGAATGTGAATCGCTTCGTAAAATTTTTGAAATGGTTATTTTAATATTAAACTATAAACTGCTTTTTCCGATATAAAACTGTACAGGTTTTTAGTTTATAAAACAAAATAAGTTCAAATTGTTGAGTAATTTCAGTTCGGTTTTCAAATGAATTTGCTCTCCTTTACATTTTACCTTTTATTCTTAAATTAAACAGGGTAATTTAGCAAACTTTGATACAGCTTCATTGAAAAGGAAAGCAGTTAGCAGTGCATGTTTTATGCAATAAATTAAAGCAAGAAAATTCATAAACATTAAACATTCAAAGCAAACTTGCCCTATATTCCACAGTAAATCAATTCTTCTCATTTCTTCAAACAAAAATTGGTTCAAAGCTCATTGTGTGAAACGTGATTTTCCAAATATATGCCTTTGAAAATTGAAATCTTGTTTATCCCACTCCTGGCAGCCATATTTTTGAGATCAGTGAGGATGACCACCCACAGTTGGTGACCCATGCCCGGGATCATTGATGAACTTTAGACTTCGCTAATGGTTCCCTTCCCCTGGTGTAAATAGCCGGGGGGAATTAGTCCCTCGCACGGCACTTTGCGCCGTCGGCTCGGGGACAAGTAATTTTAAAGGCTTTTAGTAACGTTGTTCAACGCTTCTTTCAAAGTCGGTGTGGTCCCAATGAGTCTTAAATTGGCTAATGTAATACCTGTATACAAGAAGGGATCTCCTGCCTGCCTATGCAACTATCGCCCTTCTGTCTATCTTTAGTAAACTATTAGTAAAAACGTTATTGTCGGTGTTGTTTACCACCCTCCTTGTCAAAATATTAATGAATTGAATACAAATACGGATTCCTTAATAAACATAATCTCCAGCAAAAATAAAACTTGTTATATAATGAGTGCATTACAACCCGCACGAAAAAATCACAGCATGAACTGCATTTATATAGTGCGGATCACACTGTGATTTTAGGCCTCCCCAACACTTTGCCTGCAACTGTTGTGAGGGTGAAGTTGAATATTATTTTTAATGCCTATCGCAATTATATTTGATTACAAGCTTGTTCACAAGGGGGCCAAATATTATAAAATTGATTCAACTAAAATAGCTCGCAGAATAAAATACCCTGTTGCAATTGTCAAATGTCAAACAATATGTGACACCCGATTAGCGTGTTTGATGCTGGCTGACAGCCGGAAATTTTGTCTCCGATTGCTCGGCTGCCAGCCGAGCTGTCCTATAGTATACTATTCGTTCAAAAAATGCGCACATGTCAGAGACTGGTTCTAGAATGTTTTCATAAGCAGAAAACCACCAAAATTACATTAAATTTTCAGAAAATCATTGAAATGCATCTAAATTCATCTTCCCAATGCATACAGCTAGCTATGCAACACGTAAATAAACGAGAAAAAAAATTGTGGCAAAGAGAAAAATTCAAATTTGTTAGCGCCCACTCTGGGATCGAACTCACCATCCTCAGAATTCACTCTGCATTTCCGCACGCCACCACGCCTTACACACAATATATGTTCATTTATTGTATATGTTATACAGGTCATTCTTAGCCAGCGGCATTTATGATTGCGTAAATACGTACACCATTGTACACGGCCAAGGGTACAGTAGCAGCCGAGCCGTATCTGCTCTTACAATACAATACTTACAATACATTACAGCATAGATCATGGCTACCAGCCGGGGGTTATTTAACTATAATACAATACTACAATGCAATACGACTGTCAGTGCAGCCGAGCCTGTCAGTACTATACTATAGTATACTACAATACATCACGGCTACCAGCCGGCAATACAGCTATCAGCCGGGCCTGTCTGTAGTATGCTATAGTATATGTTTTATATTGTGCGACAACTAATAAGTGAGACTTTAATAGACAACCAACATGTATAGCACAAGACTTTTAATACAACAAATATGCCCAATTGCTTCGAGCTACCAATATTTATATGAACATGGACAAGTCCTGGATAATTGCATAATTATGAATAGCTAATTGAATATCATTACATCTCCTTTTTTTTAAAGTTTCAAAGTTCTAGTTAAAAACAACTTAAACTATGATTACCATATTACAATAGTACACACTGAAATTCTTAAGATTAATAGTGTCTGTACTAAATATATAATTATACTAAACTATGGAACATATCTTGATGGCAGTTTGCTAACACGTCCAGATCCAGTTACATGTTTTTCAACAGCTCGTTGTTGCACTGGTAATTCTTCAGAAACCGGAACAGGAGGGCTTGGATCTACATCAACATCGGTTTCAACCTCAAACGTTTCTGACGTTAACAAAAGATCCTTTCTATTTCTTTGAAGATGATTCCCACAAGGAGTTTCGACAACATACGATCTTGGAAATGTCGTATTTCAAACTACCTTGCACTTAGTTGACCATTCTTTCTGATCACCTTGTCGAATACGAACAGTTGATCCAGGAGAAAGTTTACAAAGGTCTGTTGCATTCTTATCATAATAGAATTTTTGCTTCATTCTATTCTGTTGCAACTTTAACGATAAGCTCTCATTTTTCACCAACGGCTTAAAAGACGGCAAGCGATTTATAATCTTTCTTTCAAACATTCTCTCGGCTGGAGATGGTAACCCATCAGCTGTAGGAGTAGAACGATAAGATAACAGTGCTAAATATGGATCATCATTGGCTTTCTTTGCTTTCTTTAGTAATTTCTTTATAGTTTTAACCGAATTCTCAGCAAACCCATTTGACTTGGGATGTTCTGGACTACTTGGACTATGTTTCATATCATACTCCTTACAAAACTGCTGAAATTGAAAACTGGAATATTGAGGACCATTATCACTGACAATCGTCTTGGGAATGCCATACCGACTGATTTCATATGTTTTACCACAGTTGCACTATGTGTGTCCTGTCGCAAACAAACTTCAGGAGAATTGGAGTAATAATCTACAATAACTAGATAGTTCTGTCCAAGACAATGGAACAGATCTGATCCAACCTTTTCCCATGGACTAGAAGGAATATATGATATGAGTGGTTCTTTCTGCTGACGATTGCTATGTTGTAAACAAACACTACATTTTGATGCCAGTACATCACTTCTCTAGCTCTAGCCTTACATTTCTCAATTCCTATATGCCCTTCATGAATACGTTTCAACATGTCACGCTTCATTGACAACGGAATAACAACTTTATCCACTTTAAGAATCACACCGTCGACAATTGAAAGTTCTTCCTTAATGTGATAAAATGCTTTAGCTTCTGGTGAGCATTCGGAGAATAATGGTGGCCATCCTTTTCTGACAAGATTCATCACTTCTTGTAAAACTGGGTCTTTCAATGTTTCTTGTTTAAACTCTTGAAATTTCTCTGATGAAATTGGCAAGTTTGAAACAACATAATGTATTTGATACTCAACTTCAGGTATTTCGGATTCTGAAATTTTTGACAAGTATGCTCTTGATAATGTATCGGCTATATGCCAATACTTGCCAGGAGTAAATTCTACATCAAAGTCATACCTCTGTAATCGAAGAAGGAACCTTTGTATTCTGGGGGGTGCTTTGATAATTGATTTTGCAAAAATCGGTTGAAGAGGTTTATGATGAGTTTCTACCTTAAAACGTTTTCCATACAAATAATTATGAAATCTATGTGTCCCGAAAACTACTGCAAGTGTTTCTTTTTCTATTTGTGCATAGTTTTGTTCACTTATATATTGTCATGGCCCTGCTAGCATATGCAATTGGAAACCAGTCATCACCATGTTTTTGGAGTAAGACTGTGCCTAAACCTGTTTTTGATGCATCTACTGATATGGTAACCAATTTTGGATCAAAGTATTTAAGTATTGGACTTTGCGTAATTAGTTTCTTTATGCTCTCTAATGCTGGTTCATGCTGTTCAGTCCAATTCCATTTTATGTCATATTGTAAAAGGTGTCTTAATGGCGCTGAAACAGTCGATAAATTAGGCAAGAATTTTCCTAAGTAAGTAACCATGCCCATAAATCGACGAAGATCCGATTTGTTTTCAGGAACTGGCATTTCCATAACAGCTTGAACCTTAACTTCATCTGGTTTGACCCCACATGCAGTAAGAGTGTGTCCACGAAATTTCAATTCTTGCACACAAAAAACACATTTTTTCTTTGTTTAATTTCAAATTTGCTTCTCTAATTCTATCTAGAACTGCTTTGAGCCTTTCATCATGCTCCTCTTTCGAGTGACCCCAAATTATAATATCATCTTGGTTGTTCTTACAACCTTCAAGACCTTCGATTATTTCACTTATTTTTCGTTGAAACACTTGTTGAAACACTTCGGAGGCACTTTTCACTCCAAATGCTAATCGGCAATCTGCAATAATGTCATCTGCTGTTTGCATCGGAAAATATTCTCGTAAAATTGCCTCATTTAGGTTCTTTGGGTCTAAACATATTCTAATAGAGCCACTCGGTTTTTCAACAACCACTATAGAATTTACCCATTCTGTTGGCCCTTCTACTTTCAAAATAATTTCCAGTCTTTCCATCCTATCAAATTCATTTCTTACTTTTTCTTTAAGCCCAAATGGAATATGTCTAGGATTGTTTATAACAGGAGGTACTGAAGGGTCTAGATTAATATCATGTTCACCATTTAATACCCCTATCTCTCCAAAAATATCATCATATTCATACAAGGTAATCTGTTGTTGCAGGTTTTACCAGCATTACTCTTTTCATTAGACCTAAGCGTGTGCATGTTTCCAAACCTAATATTGGCGGTAGTTCAGTAGGCACAACAAAACATTGTATTGGATAAGACTTTCCAGGTGCATCAGGCTTAGTTATTCTAACTATGCACTTTCCTTCTATTTCAATATTGCCCCCATCCATAGATATCTTATATACACTAGATAGCGCATCTAATTATTCTGCAATTCAAAAATTGAAGCCGTGATTGCAGGCTCAGGATCTTCCCATGAAATGAGAAGATTCGTATGTATCCTATTTCTTAAACAGGGAACTTAAACATTAAGTTAATCCTATTATAAATACATTTTCAAACTATTCAAATGATGAAAGTTATTGTTATTTTTTAAGCGTTTATTAGTGAGTGGGAAGATCCAACATGGCCACCATCTATTCAAATGGGGGTAACCGCTGGGATATTCTTGGCTTCAATTTTACTAAAAGAGATGCGCTATCTAGTTTATATAAGATATCTATGCCCCCATCATAACTTGTCAGCTTTGTCCTTAGCTACATGTAGTTTAGGTTTATTTGGTATGCAGTCATATATCTTTCTTGATATTATGTTGCATTGTGCACCTGTATCTAATTTGAAGTTTATTTATGTGCCTGATGTCTGTAATGGTAAGATCCAGTCATTTGAATGGTCAGTCTCTGATAAAACTACATTGACGAAATATTCAGTTTTATTTGTGCCTGGTTCCACACTCTCTTTATCCTTATTTTGACATTCATTCTGATTATCCATGTCGATGTTAAATTCAGATGTGTTCGGTTTTGACTCTATTTTTACTGAGCCTATGAAGAACTCATTATCCTCAGACTCTGTAGACTCATTTTCATTTTCAACATGCACTGCTTTCACTCGTTTTGATGTCAAGCATACAGCAACAAAATGATTTGATTTACCACAAGATGTACAGACTTTGCTATAAGCTGGACATTGTCCCCTATCATGTAGTTTACCACAATATCTACAAGACTTGAATTTGGGAAATTTTGACCCTTTAGTTTCGTTGGAATATTTGGATTTTGGCCTTTGTTCGTATTTTGTATTGTTTCGTGTTTAATTATTGTGCTTTCTACTCTTGTATTTACCATTAACTTTAACAGCCCCTATTTTATTATCAGAGTCTACTGTATGTTTTTGATTTTCATCTGTTTGTTTTCTAGTGTCTTCATCAGCTTTACATAAAAGAACTGCTCTATCTAATGTCAAGTCCGACTCTCTTAACAGCCTTTCTTGGAGTTTCAAATTGCTTACACCACACACTATTCTATCTCGAATCAAGCTTTGAGTTAATTCCTTAAATTCGCATTCTTGCGCTTTAGTTTTAAGATAATTTATAAAGTCATCGATTCGTTGATTTTCTTGTTGCTTTACATGAAAGAACTTACATCTCTGGAATGTAATGTTCGATTTAGGACAAAAGTGGGCATCAAATTGCTCAATAACTGTTTTATATTTCATGCTATCTTAATTACTGTCGAATATAAAATTATAGTATGCTTCCCTACTTCTCTGGCCAATGCACATCAATAATGTTGAAGTCTTTATGTTGTCTACTTTCTTATCACTCTCTGTAGCGACCAAGAAGAATTCAAATTCTCTTTTCCACCTACGCCACGCTTCAGATATATTTGCATTGTTATCCAAATTTAACTCCTTAGGTGGCGGGACCTTTGCAGCCATAATATCTTCCTATCTTCTTCAAATAAGACAAGAATTCTTCACACCTGACACCATGTTTTATATTGTGTGACAACTAATAAGTAATACTTTAATAGACAACCAACATGTATAGCACAAGACTTTTAATAAAACAAATATGCCCAATTGCTTGGAGCTACCAGAATTTATATGAAGATGGACAAGTCATTGAATATCATTACAGTATACTACAATACATCGGGGCTATCAGCCGGCAATACGGCTATCAGCCAATCCTGTCTGTAGTTACCAGACATGTATTGTAAGTATTGTATTGTATTGTAAGTATTGTATTGTAAGAGCAGATATGGCTCGGTTGCTACTGTACCCTTGGCCGTATACAATGGTGTACATATTTAATCATAAATCGCGCTGGCTAAGAATGACCTGTATATATACAATAAATTAACATATATTGCATGTAAGGCGTGGTGGCGTGCGGGAAGAACACTCAAGGCAAATGCTGAGGATCGTGAGTTCCATCCCAGAGTGGGCGTGAACGAATTTGGATTTTTCTCTTTGCCACATTTTTTTTTCTCGTTTATTTACCTGTCGCATAGCTAGCTGTATGCATTGGGAAGATGAATTTACATGCATTTGAATGATTTTCGGAAAATTTAATGTAATTTTGGTGGTTTTCTGCTTATGAAAACATTCTAGAACCAGTCTCCGAAATGCGCACATTTATTTAATAAATAGTATACTATAGTACAGCTTGGCTGGCAGCTGAGCAATCGGAGACAAAATTTTCAACTGTCAGCTGGCGTCAAACGCGCCAATCGGGTGAATGTGAAATAGCTAGCTGTACTGTATTCTATAACTCTGCTCTTAAGAAGTGGCTCTTAGACAATTGCAGCTTATCGAAGGTATAGATCTTAAGTCACTAACAAAGTTTGTCCATAAAACCACTCAGATGGAACATAAATTAAATATAATGATGTTCATGCACTCCTTGTGTCTTTACGTTTTCATAAATCTAACATATAGTAGCTATATACTGCTGTGTCCTGCGTGTGCAACTGATTTGGTTTGAATTGCATGATATATTAAACAACACAAAATTATTGAGAAAACATACATACATACATATACAATACATATCTCCATTCTCTTTCGCTGAACTCGGTGAATCACATGATGGTACTTTGGTTAACAACGTCTCGTAGCGCATCCAACACACCCAGCATATTGGCTGATGTTGGTGCCATCAACTTGAGCCTGCTACCCAATATGACCTGATGTCGCTGTAAGAGACGAAGATCTCTATAGGATTGGCGATCTTGGGAAAATTCCTTGTTATCCGTACCTCAAGATCTTCGCCACTTATGCAAAAACAGGTGTTGTTTTTTGAGTGCAGTGCACCATTAACTGTTTTCCCTTCCCTTTCGGCGAACTCTGTGAATGACGTGATGGTACTTTGGTCAACAACGTCTCGTAGCGCATCCAGCACACCCAGCATATTGACTGATGTTGGTGCCACCGACTTGGGCCTCGAGCAAGTAAGAACCTGTAAAAAGAAAGTATGATTTTTTAAATACAAATGCAACACAATTCGACAAGACACAATACAGTAGAGGTCTATGTCGGATCGACCTACTGTCCAAATGATTTAAGTACATCAAGTGTTCCTTCATGATCCACAGGTATGTTGAATGCCATGTGGTGTACATCTATCTCATCCAAAGCAGCATCTTGTTCCATAAGCCTAGGGTTAGGGTTATTGACAAGGAATCGTGACATTTTTATTAAATCTGTAAAGAAAATAGATGAACTAATTATATTAGGATTTATAAAGATTTTTTTGGATTTTTTTGAATTTTTTTATTTTTATTTTTTTCGAATTTCATCCAGTTTTCATTAAGAGGTCAGAGGTGCATTTTTTAATATTAAATTACAGGAAATTGGATATTCATGACCTTTTAAGTTCCTTTTGTAATAGAACACCATTCCATTGCTGACTCGGGTTGCTTAAAAGCATATAATTATTAAAAGTTATAACAAACTTACCTTCGAAAGGGTCCAAATAAATGGTTTTTGAGGAATTTTTTTTTACAAACACATGTTTTCAATTGCATAAGAAGACAGGAGGCACTTTGATGGTTTTAGGGGGTCATATGGGGGATAACCAGGTGATTTACCGCGAAAAGGTTTTCAATTATTTTTTCAAAATTATTTAAATTTTCTTTTTTAAGACTTCGGGTCGACGTTCAACTTTTTCTAATGCCCCTTGTTGGCTCTATCGACCCTCTTATCCCATGCATAGTGTAAAAATGCATAGTTCAAAAGGTTCACCTCAGAGGAGAGATGCAAAAAACATCCTCGTAATCCGCTGGCAACCCTTGCAGATAGCGATTCATATATCGCCTGGTACAAGCCTGCACATCTGTTTGGTGTGGACAACGACAGCGTGGGAGGGGACATCTTTGGTGTAGAGGTGAAGAAGTACTCGCAGTCTCTGACTGTCATTCTCGACAGTCCCCGGGAGGACTTCCTCACCATCTGCGCCCACGGCTCGACTTGTACGCAGTGGAGGACAGCCTCGCAGACTCGACTTTTGCATGCCTGCAAAAGGCGGTGGTACATCGGATATGACTTTGTATCCAGCGATGCGACGAGGTCATCCAGCACTTGCTCTGGTGCAAAGCCGTTTTGTTCTCCAACTTGAAGAACCTCCCGGGCCAAGTAGCCAGTCATATGGGCCGGTTGCTTCGCGAAGCCATTGGCTAGGTTGGTGAGCTCGAAGAAAGCATCAGTCAGCTGTGGATCGCTTGCAATGTTCGGAATCGATTGAAGTGCACACCATTTATCCCGCAACGGCTCCTGGAAGGATTCTTCAAGCAATTGCCACCCGCGCGGAGATCTTTATTCCACCAAACTAGCTCACGGGGATTGTAACCTTCCCTGTCCGGAACACCGGCGGGCTCCTTGAAGTTGTCGATCCGCTTCTTCCTGTTGAATCACATTTGCACACAATTATGATGTAGGGATAGAAACATTACATTTTGGTGTCCTGCATGCAATTGAACATATTCGCGCCATTTGACTAGCACTGATGTTTTTAAACGTTCTATAAATAGTTTCATGGTGCAGCAGACTTTCTTAAGGTGACTCGATATAGTAATAAAAATTCTGTCTGGTGACCTACGTTCATATTTTGCATGCTATATGGCACCGCTAAACAACTTTCATTGTGCATAAAATTTAAAAAACACTTCTGCAATGCCAAAAATTGTAGGCATTAGAGAATTTTTGTTTATAATTTTTGAGTTTATAATTGTGTCTCTCACATTTACGATGCATAAACATAAGTTTGAGTTCGAGGTATCTACCAAACCTTTGGTGTTTCTTTTTTATATGTTTGTTCACACTTGACAGTAGGCATTAGCTGTTTTCACATTGTGCTTGCATCTTGCTTGCGAGGTCATCCGCGGGCACACATCAATGGGGGGTGACACTTTACTCGCGTCACAATTTCGATGTTCTTTTTTCGACTCTTTCCAGCTTTCGGATGGAAAGAGACATTTTACAAAAGCTTTTCACAGTTGTCACCGGCACCTCAGTTCAAGGAATACCATAAAAAATCTTCATCGTTGGACCTTTATAGAGCATTTGTACGACTTGTTGAGTTCATCTTCTAAATTGCGTTTTTCCATTTGTAAAAGTTTATAACTGATGTTTCAAATCAGAGTTTCAATTTTTGGAAGTATTTA